ATTAACTTTTGCTTAATAGATTTTGTTTATGCTGAGATGTTAAAGACAATTTTGATGTAGTCACATTTTAATCTACTTTGAATTCTTTTGATAAATTCATATTACATCAACAATTATTCTCAAATAAGATGAGCAATAAAATGTTGAAATGCTGACCAATGTTCATTTCTCTTCATGTAGAACTGTTTCTCCAAGATTCTGATTTTTTCTTCAGGTCTTAAATCTGCTTGACTAATTCACTTATAATTTTCTGCAATATCATGTGTTTTTTGTTTGTTTGTGTGTGTTGCATCTTCCTTAAAAAGCTCCTCCAGTTTATCTGTTTTCAATTTCCAAGTTCTTCTAGAATGTTCTTTGACCTTTAACTCAAAACTATTTTTGTAAATCATTTATTTGTAAATCATTATTTATGCATAATTACTCAACTGCATTTTGTCATATGTGTCAGTGCTCCATTGATCAGCCTCTACACTGCATTTTTCCTCTGACTATACATGAAAAACACATTTTATGTTCAACCATGTTTTTACCAGAATAAAGTAAATGAAAATTATCACTTTTGTGAAAACAACTTTTCAAGCATATGCATGCACAAGAAGTAAAAATCTGGGCCTACTCCAAAGACATTTTTAAGACTTCCCTAACATTGTGCAAAATATGTCACTCTGAATGTTTATATCTATCTTTTGTGTCTGTGTTTGTATATGTATCTATATTTATATTTGTAACATTGATTGTTACCAGGTGTCATTTTGTGTCAAGCTCAGCACCTCCCCACATGTACAGCTATATTCAAGTAGTTTAAGTTCAAGTAATTGCTCTCAGAAGTGTTCAATATTTATAAAAGTATTTAATTTTTTCCAAAAGTGTTTATGAATCACAAGCTGCTATTTCCTGAGAAAATTGGAACATCAAATTACAGCATTTAAAAAAAAAAATTAAACGTTTTTCATTCAAATATTTTAATGAAAAATTAAATACTAACTAAATACTATTTGGTTATTTGTAAAAGCATTTTAGAATTTTTCTTTAGTTTTGTAAAATTAATGAGAAATACAAAAAAATTAGGCCATTTTTGTTCCACTTTAGATTATTCTGAAATAAAGAAACATGGGGAGTGTTATAACATACAAGAACTTTGGAAATTGGCTGGCAACCAGATCGAATTACCAAATCATGAAGTTCTGTTGGACATTTATGGCAAGGTAAGCTCTGATATGCATTCAAATTATCCATTTTGTAATTTCAGAAGAAAAGATAAATTCCATATCAATTTTGAAGTTTTCATGCATTGAAAATGTACAAATCCTTAACCTCTGAATGTAAAGAATTCCTTTTATATTTTTGTTGATTAATCTTGCAATTTTTGGTCATGAATTTCAAAGCAACAAGACTTATATAAAAAGAGCCAGACAATAAACCAAACACTTCATTGGGGCAGAAGAGAGGCCAATAATTTGGTATATCTTTGATAGATTCACTAAGATCACAAAATTTCAGGTTAAATTGAATCTAAGGATTTAATTTTGATTATTGTTAAGGTAATTTAAAATTCTGTCTTGACAAATTTCACATTTTTTCTTTTTGTTTTTATAAGGAAAGTCAATACACACATCTACTAAAATGTATGAAAGATTTGTAATAATTCTTACTTGTCTCCATTTGACTGACCACTTCCCACACTAACTTCTCATTTTGATTTGGTGTTATTCCCTTTATTTTTGATCTGGTGTTATTCCCTGTATTTTTTATCTGGTGCTATTCCTTTTATTTTTTATCTGTTGAAATCCCCTTTACTTTTTATCTGCTGCTATTCCCTGTATTTTTTATCTGGTGCTATTCCTTTTATTTTTTCAATAACATCCAGACCAATCCTCATTTCAATATTTAAACCCATCCCTACAAAATAATCCCTGTAGATATTTTAAACTGTCAATCTAGCAAACACTTGATAATTTGAAGTTGTTTAGCTAGTTGTTTAGCTAGAGTTTTTGTTATTCGAATTTGAATTTCTATCATTCCTTTACCTCAAAGCTGAGAGGAACTCAACTGTTCAATTCAATTTCAGATTTATTTAAATAAAATTGATTATTAAGTATAATTTAATAGTTAAAATTTTGTTCATTTGTTTTATTTTATTCATTTATATGTATATAAATATATTTTATATTTTTATTGGAAAAATTTATTTTATTAATTACTTATTTTATTAATTATTTATTTTATTCTTATGACAAGTTTGATATCAAAAGAAAAATTGTCTTTAAATTCAAGCATTAATTATATAAATTTGTTAAATAAGTTTTTAATCAATTATTTCAGCAATTAAAATTCAAGTTAACACTTATGGTGCACATTCATCAGTGGTGCACATATGTTATATTCTGTGCTAATAGGAATATATACTTGAAAACAAAGGGGATAAAATAAGTAAAGGTTTATTGTAAAAAACCAGTACAATAAGAAGAAAGGCAACAGTTATGCAATCCAGTAGTGAGTGCAACTATTGGAAGGTTCTTTATTTACATTATTCGGACTATTATTTGTTGCCATATTTATCACAACTTTTCGGCCATTGTATGCTCCAGCCTTCTTCAGGTGGTTGGAATTTCAAACTGAACCCTTTATTTCACTCACTGTTCTAGTTCCACATGCCATGTTTGATGGATGTCAGTTATCAGTTATCTCCTGCTAATTTTCCCTCTGAAAGTTCTCCACTGCCTTAACCGGGTATTGAACTCACACTCTTTGGGTCCTGTCACTGAATCTAACCAACACCTTTATCCACTGTGCCATGTGTCCTTGAGGACATCTGGGTATGAATTTCTGGGTATTATAAACCTAATGTCTTCAGCAACCATTTTTACCAGTGCTCATAATTTTGCTGTTATCATTTCATGTTTTTACCAGAGCTCATATTGCAACTATGTTGTTATCATTGCTTTTCTCTGGTACTCCTTATTACTGGTTCCCATATTGTATTTATTTCTATGCTTGGTCAGCTCAGGAGATTTTTGTGGTCTAGCATATGTGCTGATTCCTTAAGTTTACGAATTTTCCAATGGTGTTCCTTGTCTATGATCTCAACATGATCCCACAGAGGGCGGTGATCTCCCTTCTCTCTCCATATGTGGTCAGCCATGCCAGATTTTTCTACTTCCCCTTGTGTTTTAGCTTTCTGGTGTTCTTGAAGCCTTACCTTGAGGGGGCGGCCTGTCTCTCCTTTATATTCCTTTCCGCAGCTGCATGGGATAGCGTACACACAGTCTTTATTCATGTTCTCCTCTATGGGCAGGGTGTCTTACTTGGGAGAGATATCTGCAAAAGTAAAGGGTTCAGTTCGAAATTCCAACCACCTGAAGAAGGCCGCAGCGTAAAACGGCCAAAACGTTGTGATAAATATGGTGACAAAGCTGAGGACAATAGTCTGAATAATGTAAATAATGTACATAATGCCTCATCTCAGAAATATAGACAGACTCTATTGGAAGGTTGTTTGTTCTTGTGTAAGTCTGAGTTGTACTCAAGAGATTCCAGCTAGTCTCCGTAGTCCGTTGACTTACAAATACTTATAGGTAGTTACTACCTATAGTGTAGTCACTCATGGGGGTGACAGGTTATTCCATTACATCAGTCTACAAAGGGACATGTTATTTTTCATGCAATGTGTTTTATGCAAGGGAACTTTTGGTCTGTGTTTTATTTTATCTTTGTTGCTTTTTTCTAAATTGAAACTCTATAAAAGCAAAAGAAGAAAACAATGAAATATAAAAAATTTAAAAAAATATTTATTGAATATTAAGAAGGATTTATGTCAAAGTTTCAGACAACCTTGGGTATTTAAACTTATTTAGTATTGGTAGCTTTGTAGCCGGCACTAAACTAAGGGCTTCATGTTTTAGAATCAAACAATATGTGGACAAAGATTCCTGTTTACCAATTGAAAGACCAGGAAATTTTTTTTTTCAGGGAGTTGTAATCAGTTTTAAGCCAATACCTCTTTTTAGTAGGTATCTATCTATCTATCTATCTATCTATCTATCTATCTATCTATCTATCTATCTATCCTGTTTCAAAAGTGTAGCTTCAGGACTAACATGAGAAGAGGGAACTGGACATGTCATGACTTTAGGACAAGTTTCTTCATGTAGAAATGTTATTCCCAAATTTAATACAAAATTTCCAGTTGAGCATCCAATAATTCATTCCATTGTTGGATAAGATTTTGAATGTCATTATTCTATGGATGGGAGTCTTCAAAAAAATTTAAACTTAATTCCATTGGTTGATCAGAAAATGTGAACCAGTTGAATGACTTTTTAAGTTTCCAGACCTTACACTACTCATCTTCTTTGGTGATCAACAGAAATCTCTTATCTATAACAATTAGTTCAGTACAATCATTTCACTAAAGGATGAAACCAATTTTGCATGTAACAGCCTCAGTTTGGATATATTAAGACAGTTAGTAGTTAAGTGTGGAAGAGATCAAAGTTGTCAATTTCTATATTTGCTGGAATAAATATATTAAAAAAATATCACTTTTTGCCTGTGGATCCACACTTCTGGGATAGCTATAGATAGATAGATAGATAGATAGATAGATAGATAGATAGATAGATCTGGAGAGACTGAGATGGATATGAGTAGAGTGAGATAATTTGCTTCCTAAGATTGATGTACATTGTAGTTGTGAATAGTCATTGATTGTTGCAAAGTAAATACATAATATCTCTGAAAATTATTGTTTATTAAATATTTTTTCAGAGGAGATTTTTGGTCTATTGTGATTTGTGGTGTATTGAAATTTGAATGTAAATAATAGTTATGTTTGAAAATGCTTTTGAAGGCCAATGTATATGTTTTTATAAATTATACTCAGTCTAATCACATTTATTGAATTTGTTTGAGAGGAAAAGACAGGTGTTGTATGATAAGATTATTTTAAAATTCCTTGAATATCAGGTTTTAATTAATTTCCTTCTTTTATTTCTTTCCAGATGCTTATCAACTCTTTTCTGATTCCAGATGAATATCTTAATAAAATTGGAACAGGTTTATATCTCAGGTGAGCCAAACTCTTTCTAGCTCTTTGTCAATGTTGACAAGTTTATTTTTCCTGGATTTTGTAGCTTTTGCAGGATACAAAAACATACAAAAAATAAAAATATTTGAAAAACCTTTAATAATAAACTTTGATTAAAAAGCATCATTAGATGCAAACATGAATTATATTGGCAGAATTTGTTGTTAATTAATTTTCCTCTTAATTGCAGTACATCCAAATTAGATCATTGTTGTGCTCCAAACTGTGTTTACACATACAATGGCACTGAACAGATCATTCGAGCATTGACTTATATTGAGCAGCCAAGTCCTGATAAGGTAATATGCTGTATATTCTGTATTTTCATCTTCCTTAATGAGGTAGTTATTATTTTAATTAAGTATCATTTGTTATTTATTTGCTTCAAAGTTTATGGAAATGATTCCTCCTCCTCCTTTTAGATTTCAGCTGTAAAGTGGTTACTCTCTTGAAATATTTCAGCATAAGATTAGGAGAACTGTCTTTCTTCTCTCTCTCTCTCTCTCTCTCTCTCTCTCTCTCTCTCTCTCGCTCTCTCTCATATAATATTGCCATCTTCAATTATTCATATTCATACTCACAAATCCCCAGTCATGATGGCTACTTATCAGGGAAAAAGTAGAAAATCAAAAGAAATTGGATTTAAAAACAAACTTTATTTCAGGTAGTATATTAAATATAAGAAACATTTGTCACCAGTGTGTATTGACACTGTTTGTTGGTAGGCAACCAAAATTAACCTGTGGATCCAAGGAGATGCTTAACTGGTGGAGGAATTTTCAAATATGTTCAAGGAAATCAAGCTGTCTTACCTACAGGCATTTCTAAGTGGATTATCTGACAATTCAAGTTATGAAGATAAAACTTCTAAAGATAAGCAATATAACAATAAAGATAAGAATTAATGTAATCTGCTTTGCTATAATTATTTTTTATTTAGTTTAGTTTCCTTGGATTGAAACTCCATTTGAGCTCTTTATAAATTTGAGCTTTGTGCTAAATAAACATTTGTACAATTATGTTCTCAATGAAAAGGAAAATTTACATTTTTTTTAATGAAGAAGAATGAAAGTTTTGATTTTTAATCAGGTAAATAAAATCTCAACCAGTTTAAGTTAAACTTGTAAAAAAATGATGGCTATGATTTTGTCCATATTTTTGCTTTATCACCAACTGCAAAATGCTTAAATGATATTCTACTTATACTCAATGAAAAGGAAAACTGAAAGAATTATAAGTCAAATTAGTCTGCTAAATTGAGAAGAAAGAAATGACTGTTAATTGTAAGAAGAGAGAATGCATAGTGGTAAGCAAAATGAACAACTTCATTTCTAGTATTATGTACTAGAAATGTTTAAATGAAACAAGTGCATAAATTTAACTTTCTGGGCAATGTGATAACAGAAAACAGAAAATCTGACATCAAAATTCAAAGTTACATACAAAGAGAGATACTTGTCAAAAATTGCACAAGGGAACAAAAAATAATGAAGATAGTGCTGGATTACTACACATGATGACCCAGCTTCTTATACATTAATCAAAGATGGATACTTTTGTCACAAATGGAGCAATGGAGATGTAGTTTTTGTGAATGAATGCTGCAAATCCCATAGAAAAATTTATGGAAAATGAGAAAGTTCTAAGAAGAATAGGGAATACAAAGAAATTGCTTATAACAACCAAAAACAAATGAAAATTTGGGACTATTTAATGAAGAAAGAAGTCTTGGCAAGCTTAAAACCCACAAGACACATTGAAGGCAAGAGAGAAGTAGAGGAAATTACTGAGCAACATAAATGACAACAAGGAATTACTTACTCTTGTTTTTCTTACAATGCCTTTTAGTTTCCAGGTGTTATAGAAAGAGAAAGAAAACCAAAATATAAGCAAATCTTTGAACAAATGCTCTCAGCTGAAGCCTGCTCAATTAGAAAAAATAAGTTCCTTGGTATGGAATAATCTTCAGTTAATCATTACTATGAAGAAGTGAGTTCAATCCTCATTGGGTGCCCCATATTTGTGGTCTTCTGCCAAGCTAAGCTTAGTGAATGGCAACTCTAGCAGAAGAACACTTACTATGGAAACCTGTTAGATTTATTCATTTTTATTCCTGATGCATTATAAAATTTCAATTGATGGCAATTTCTGCTTTCTTTTGGGACAAATGCTTATTTCAACTAGGACTTAGCCAGTAAATTGTTTAGTGAAAATATTCTTGTCAATTAAAAATTATTGTATCTTTACATCAAGATTAAGAATTTATAAAAGTTCAAGTTTGTGTTTAAAAAGGTAAATATGAAGTGTAATATGATCACTTTATTTGCCAGTGAATAAAATGCCTCGTTTCCTAAGAAATTTGGAAGAGGAGTTCTTCCTGAAAATTTTCTAAGCTTCTTTAGGTATCCTCCTAATCATAATAGCAGCTTATTGTATGTAGTGTAGTATTTATTGTATGTAGTGTGGTATTGTTACAAATTATTTATTTAGATGTGTGATATTTTTTCACACAAAGACAGAGAATTTTCTTTTCATTATTAAAATATTTGATTTTGTTTTTTAAAATTGCAAAGGCTTACCATAGAGTTTCCACATATTCTGCTCATTATGATTCAAAATTTTAAAATACTTAAATATCAATTAACATTCAGTTTCAAATTGGACCAGTTCCTCATTGAATACTCAATTATTGTAGCCTTGTGCCAGTCTAAAATAAGTGGAATTAATAACTGTGTTTCATTAAATGACTTGAAGCAGTGGAAAGCGAATTCATTATCATAGTTTTCTTGAATATTTACTTGCAACATGAATGATCATAATGGAATAATTAGTCTGAAAGTAAAAATAGTCCAACTTTATTTATTTTTAGATGTTTGTGACTTATATTGACAATGCAATGCCAAGCTGGGAACGCAGATTACAGCTTAATGAAAACTACTATTTTTATTGCCAGTGTTCATGGTGTGTGGATGAAGCCAAACATATTGTAAGTACATTTATCTTAGAGACTATGACTTATAATTTTCTAATTTTTTATTTAACCCTCACCTTATTGGTGAACAAAAGCGATACTTTACAGAATTCCATTCATCTTGGAATTGTAAAAGTTAATGCATTTGATGATGTATTTCAATATGAAATCTGTCTATCTAATTTACCGAAACATAATTTTAGCACAAAAAGGCATGAATTCACTTCTTCACCCAATCTATAGGTAAACTGTTGGACAGTTGGGGAGCACTTTAGCCATGTAAGGCAGACCAAGTAAAGATAATTCTAATAAAAATGACCTAGAACTTGGCAATTACCAGAAGTGGTTCAAAGCCCAACTGAGAAATGGAGAGGGTTGGAGAATAAAAAAAAGCTAAAAATTGCAAGGAAATAATGAATGAATCCTAAATTGTTTAAAATGGTTATAAACATAGATCAAAATGCTTTGTCATATGGGATGACCTCTTACATATCATTTTGAGGGTTTTTCATCATATACATATAAATTAGACATGCTTTATTTACTAATAGTATAAAAAGCAATGATTTGTTACCTTTTTGTTCATTTTTTTCACTAATTAACTAATTATATCAGAGAAATATTTATTGAGAAAAAAAATGAAAATTCTTTTCTACAAAACAATGGAAATGGCTAAAAGTTTAATATTTTCATGCAATGAAATCCCAGGTCAATTACCTTGATCAGAAGAAAAATGTTCTTTTCTCTTTTGATGTGTTATTCAAACAAACCAATTGCTCACTCTAGTGTGGTGCTGTCACAGTTTTTTCAGCTTCATACACTTAGTTATAAAAATTTGCTTTGAATTGCACCAAATAAAGAGAAGAATGTTTTCTGCAGCAGATGTTGAAAGTGACTCTGGGTTGAGTTACCAGTTTCTTCCTTCTGGATTTTCATGCTAAGTCTCTTTTCATTGTCTGTGACTGTTTAATTGAAAATTACTTTTTTTGTCTGTCTATATTTAAAAAATATGGAGACAAATTGAAAAATCCTACCAGAAATTGGCACGAATATTGAACCACCTGACATTCCTACACCGATGCAGAGACCTACAACTCATCCCTTCAGGCTTGGCACCAAGACTTCCCATCAATTCAAGGAGAGCTCGTTGGGTCACAGACACGCCCTTGTCCATGAGAGAATCCAGTACAATCGTTGGATAAAACAGCAACTACAAGCTCATATCTCCCAGACGCTTGAGGATTTCTTCAACATAATTACTAATGAAGAAGACCAGAGAAGGATCCAAAATGACCTGGATAAATCCTTCAGACATGAATTTGATGTAGTCAAGGCTCGCCAAGTGCAAAAATTAAATAGATTGAAAGATCAGAAGGTGATGCACAAAGTCCATCACCCACCAGTGAAAGCAGTAGTCAATATCAGCCAATATCAGCTGAGTGACTCAGAGGAGTCAGTATTGAATAAGGGTCTCAACTTCGCCACAACCATCAGGCGAGTGCCATACTTGGACATCATTACCAGAGTCAAGGAGGTGGCCTTGAACATCCCTCAGGCTCAGGCGGATGAACTGAGATGGAAAGTAACATAACAAAACTGGAGAGGCTGGTGATTGGATCCCTTCAGAGGAATGAAAACATCATCATACTACCAGCTGACAAAGGTAATGCGACTGTAGTGATGGATAGATTAGATTATACAAGAAAACTGGAAGACCTCATTAGCAATGGTAGCTACAGCAAAGTGAAAAAGGATCCTACTATGAAAATGGAACACAAACTGTCACAGATCCTAATCAAGAACAACGATCACTTCACACCTAAGATGTATAGGCAGTTATTGCAGCGTTATACCAAGCTACCTCACATATACGGTCTCCCTAAAATTCACAAAGACGGTATTCCACTCAGGCCGATTGTTAGTTGCCAAGGCTTGGTGTACCACACTCTGAGTCACTTCCTTGTAGATATAATTGACCCATTGATTGGAAAGTCTCCTTCATATGTCTGAAACTCCGCCCACTTTGTGGAAATAATCAAAGATGCTCCCATCCTATCCAACCAGATGGTGAGCTTGGACGTGGTGAGTTTGTTCACCAAGGTACCCACGGAGGAGGCACTCTCAGTAGTCAGAGACAGATTGGCCTCTGACTCTTCCTTAGAAGAACGGACCAGTATTCCAATAGATAATCTGATGGAGATGTTGACTTTCTGTATACAAACAACACACTTCGGAATGGGATCACACATATACCGACAGGATGAGGGCTTTAGCAATGGGCTCGCCATTATCACCAGCAATGACGAATATATACATGGAATACTTTGAGGAAATGGCAGTAGAATCTATATCTCTAAAGCCAACTATATTGTTAAAGGTACGTAGATGACACCTTCATACACTGGCCACACCAGGAAGATGTTCAGGTTCTACTGGAGCATGTGAACTCAATAAGACCTTTGATACAGTTCACAATGGAGAAAGAGAGTAACAACACACTCCCATTCCTGGATGTTCTAATATCTCGAACAGAGCATGGGTTTAAGACATCCGTATACCATAAACCAACATTCACTGGACAGTACCTCAATTTCAACTCCCACCATCCATACAGTGTAAAGAAAGGGATGGTCCGTTGATTACAACACCGAGCAAAAGTCATAAGTGGCGATCCAGAGACGTTAGATAAAGAATTGGTCAGTATAAGTAGTACCCTACAACGTAACAACTACCCTGGGTACATGGCAGCAGCCCCCAAAAACTGGGATAGGCGGGTACAAGAGGAGGAGGAGGGCAACAACACTCAGAAAACAGTCTGCCTGCCTTATGTGAAGGGGTTATCAGAGAAAATACAAAGGATCTGCGGCTCATATAACATCAGGACAACCTTCAAAAGCTTGACGACACTTTGCAGATATCTCTCCCGAGTAAGACCCCCCATAGAGGAGAACATGACTAAAGACTGTGTGTACGCTATCCCATGCAGCTACAGAAAGGAATATAAAAGAGAGACAGGCCGCCCCCTCAAAGTAAGGCTTCAAGAATACCAGAAAGCTGTAACACAAGTGGAAGTAGAAAAATCAGGCGTGGCTGACCATATATGGAGAGAGAAGGGAGATCACCACCCTCTGTGGGATCATGTTGAGATCACTGACAAGGAACACCATTGAAAAATTCGTAAACTTAAGGAATCAGCACATATTCTAGGCCACAAAAATCTCCTGAGCCGACCAAGCATAGAAATAAATACAATATGGGAACCAGTAATAAGGAGTACCAGAGAAAAGCAATGATAACAACATAGTTGCAATATGAGCTCTGGTAAAAACATGCAATGATAACAGCAAAATTGCAATATGAGCACTGGTAAAAATGGTTGCTGAAGACATTAGGTTTATAATACCCAGAAATTCATACCCAGATGTCCTCAAGGACACATGGCACAATAAAGGCGTTGGTTAGATCCAGTGACAGGACCCAAAGAGTGTGAGTTCAATACCCGGTTAAGGCAGTGGAGAACTTTCAGAGGGAAAATTAACAGGAGATAACTGATAACTGACATCCATCAAACATGGCACGTGGAACTAGGTTCAGTTTGACATTCCAACCACCTGAAGAAGGCCTGTGCGTACAACGGCTGAAATGTTGTGATAAATATGGCAACAAAGATGAGGACAATAGTCCGAATAATGTACTTTTTTTGTATCAAGCAAGAAAAAAAGATGAAAATTTGAATTCTGTTATTTTGAAAAACATTTTTTGTGGAAAGGAAATGTGACAGATAATTTTCTGGAATAAATTTATTCTTAATAATTATGAAAATTATTAATTGTAATTTAAAATTTTCATTGGGAATAAATTTTAAAAAGTTTAAGGAGTTTTTCCACTGAAAGTATTAGGTGCATACAAGATCCCAGTTATAAATGGTGTGGAAAATGCTGATGTATCGAGTGTGGGGATGATGGTTGATCAATAAATCTGTAGCCTTGCAAGAAGATAAATTTTGATCTGAAATTTTTACTGTATAATATTTGATCTTTGTGATTAATATTTATCTGTGAATTAAGTGCATTATCAAAGAAGGAGATTATGTAGATAAACAAATACTTATTGTGTGAAATAATTATTTGTTTTCATTAATGATATATTTATTAATTTACTTACATATGTGGTATATATAAAAATACAGTCTGAAATAAATAAAGCCTATAAATAGAACACCAAATGTTTGTCTGTTTTACACTGAAAATAACTTTCAGCTCACTAACTGAATTATATTCAATTTGAATTATAATCAGTTATCTTCCTAAACATTTTCTGGTCTTTAGGGATGTTTACTTTAAAGTCCTATAGGAAAAGGGGAGGGGATTACTGAAAGTTACACTTGCTATATTTGAAAATAGATTTACAATGTATTACCATACAATATATATTTTTTCAATTTATCAAATATGAAAATTCTTATGATTTCAGGATCGTCTAATGACAAGTGTAAAATGTCCAAATTCTTGGTGTTTTGGCTTTTCTGGAATTACCAAAGATGACAGTGAGTTGAATAATAATTTACCCAATGATTTTTTAAAAACTAATATCAACACCTCTTCTGTTGCTTTCTCTTATATGAATCAATATATCCTTCAGATATCTATATTAAATTTAATATAAATTGTGTAAATTTTGAATGAGTAAGTCAAATTCAGAGGAAATTTGAACTCCTATCCTAAAGCATGGCCGCCTACAATGTTGTATAAGTGATATGTATATCATGTTAGTCATAAAGATAATAAGTAGAATTATATGTGACTTTTCATTGTACTTATCTATATGGCAGATGTATGGAGGAAACAGCATTAAAAGATAATATGTTGACCTTATCGACCTCAATTAACCAACTTTCAGTCAAGCTTTATGTTGCATTATTTATCACAAACTCTCTCAGAGGATAAGTTGGTCTGCAAGTCCCACCTGTGCTGATGAGATAAGCTTCTTATCATCAACATCAGTTAATAATAATATGGAGTAAAACTAGTAATAAAATAAATAACAGTAAAACAATAAGATGGTATTAAACTAAGAACAAAATAGCAATAGTGACAGTCCTTCATATAAAAAGTAACAAAGGGGGAGTAAAACTAATAAATAGAATTGTATAAAAAGCAGCAATAATAAATTGAGATGAAAATAGTAATAAAATAGTAATTGAAAAAATAATACTTGTAAAATACAACAAAATTGAGATGGAATTAAACAAGTAATATTTCATGGATATTAAAAGTATGCCATCCAATCATGAACTACACTAAATCATTTTCATACCAATCACTTTTAATAATCAATACTTTGATGTTTGTCAGAACTGAGAACAGGAAAGAAACATGACAGCAGTTTCAAAAGATTTCTGGTGTTTTGTTCATTCTTGAGGATTTGCTTAATCAGATTAAAGATTATTTTAGAAATTAATTTATTATGTGTACATTTCATGATTTCTAGGATTTTAATAAATATAAGGGATTATAAATTAATTCAATTCTTAAGATAAAATAGTCAAATACATACATATTTATTGTGCAAATATAGAACAAAACCTGCCTTTAACTTCTAAATCATTAAAGACAAGATCAAATTTATATCAATCTTTGTGTTCTTTATGTATGTAGACAAAGTATTCACTCAATATTAGATAATTCTTTATTTACAATTTCAAAGCTTTTATCACTTAGATTTTCAAACCAGTAGCAACTGGTGGTATTCACTGGAGTGGCAATAGTTCTCAATAGTGCTGAACTCTCCTCAGTATTCTAGTTGATTTTAATAGCGTTGTCACTGGGATGGCCTCAATTTTCTCCTTGAGTCTTTTTTCTAGGCTCTTTGGAACTGTTACCAGTGCTCTGATAATGATTGGTACAGCTGTCATCTTCATGTTCCATAATTTCCTCAGCACTAGCAAAGTCAAGTACTTACTGGCTTTTTATTTTCATTTAGATTTACTGTATGTTCAACATGAACAGTAAAATTCACTAATTGAGGCATCCTTTTCTGCTTGTTTAAAACAACCAGATTCGGCCTTCTGGCCTAGATTGGGTGATATATTTGAATCTCAGGAATTTTATACATTTCATTCTCTAGGACACATTCTGGTCAATGCTTTTTGAGCATTTATCTGTAGAGTCAAGATGCATTTACTTGCATAATTCCCATTGGACCACTTTCCCCATTCTTATATTCTTTCTGTATCAATTTGCTCATCTTTGTTTCATATGTTGGCATTTATTCCTGTCTTTTATGTATCCTTATTATTATGTTGGTGTCACACATTCATGTAATCAATGCAAATTCGTGAGACTTTGAACAACTTGGGAACTTTTTGGAGAATCCTTGCTGCATAAATGATGGCAGTTTTCTGGAGGTCGACAATCTTTGTCTCAATTTCAATTTTTCCTAAGATCTCTTTCAAGATTCTTGGTGGTGTTCCAAGTGCACTCATTACTATAGGAATTACTTCAATATTCCTGTTCCATAGATTCTTCAACTCCCATGCTAGATCCTGGTATTTTTTCAATCCTTTCAGTTTCCTTGTATTGTATGGAACAGCAAAAAATCTATATTTTGGGAATTGCTAATTTTTTTTTATCTATCACAATTAAGTTAGATTTTTGTGCTTCAATGACATGATTTGTCTGGATAGAGAAATCCCATAAAATATTTAGTGACTGCCACTTTCTATCCGTGCTTCTGACTGATATTTATATCCTTTCTCTTTCACATTGAAACCAAATTTCCCAATGGATTCTCTTACCAATTCTATCATATTATCACTTTTACTCTTTCTGTGCCATCTTGGGACATTCACCACATATGTGGTTATCTGCCTCATCAACTTGCCCACATATCCTGCATTTGTTTTCTTCTTTTTTTTATTCTGGCCTATTCTTTAACTAAGTCATTTTTCCGAAAAGGCAAAAATTTATAAACCTAACCAAATGTTCATTATTCTTGAATCTTAGATTAATATAATATAAGAAAGATTTCATATTTTTGATAATTTATTTTGTATATTTTTCTTGATGAAAATCTTCAGCTGGACAAACACAGCTTTTATCCTGTTCCGGTTGTGGTAAAACAGATTTTCCAGTTGAATATGCCCGAGAGATTGTCAGACTGTGGGTTTATGGCACAAAACGAATAAAAGAATTAAAAGAAATGGACAGAAATGAAGGTATTTTCTTTACAATTTTATGAAGTTTGCATGAAAAACAGGAAAAGTTTAACTCACTTCCATCCAATTCTGAAAAGTTGTTTGTAAATTAGGAAAACTAAACAGCCTGTTAATATTAGAAATGGTATGTCTACTATTTTAATACACACACACACACACACACACACACATACATATATATATATATTACATGTATTTTTCTTGTCATAAATGTGAAGCAGTTTGGACATATGTATCAGTGCCATATGAAGACAGTCTGTTTTATACTTAAATGCAATTTTCAGGTAATTTTGGTGGAAAAGTAGCTAAACTATTATGCTTGTCACTGGGGTATTATAGGCAGGAAGTCCAGGTATTTCCTTTTTACTGTATTTATTTTATCAACGTAAGAATAGAATGGAGGTTTTTCTTTAAGAGACATTAAACTCATGTCATGAGTCAAAAGTATAAATAAAAATACAAATGTTAATCCATAACCTAAATCTTCTAAACTTTATTTCAAATAAGAAAATTCATTAAACTCATGCACAAAAACCTTCCCAATATCAAGCACTCTCCACAGGATATTCAACAAAAGGATCCTGGAAACCAAGGGACTATGTACACAAAACATCCTTTACAAATAGTAAATATGTGAAAAGTACAATGCTTTCTAAACATATCTGATAGACTAAAAACATAAAACAAGTCACACCAAAAATATCATGGAAAATAAGAAAAGAACCTATCACAATCAAACCAAAAACTGTAAACTCTGCCTGGAAGAAAAAATAGCTATAATTATCTTCCCAGATCAAAACAAACTACTAAATAAATGTTCAGAACTCATCTCAAAATGCAGACATGAACACAAATTTTTACAACATTACTTAAAAAGTGAAAACTGAAAATGAACAAGAATAAATGAAAATAAATAAAAAAACAAGTAAAATAAATTAAACTAAACAAATAAATAAGTAAATAAACTAAGTAAAATTAACAAACCACACCCACCAAAATAACTGTTAGAATAATACAACAGACTACCCATGATGCAATAGAATACCCACAATACATCACTGACCTGTATATATAAAAATTCAAGCAAAAAAAACAACTCATATGGCCTGACAATTGTGTTCTGTGGCCCAGAGACTATGATCAAAGTATAATGGATATTGAAGTTTGTTTCATTGTTTAAATGCAATCATTGTCAGACAATTGTGTATTAGCATGACACAGACTGTTGCATCTGAGTTTCCTTTAAATTCATATAAAAATCTGCACCAATGTGAATAAATTTGAAAGCCTAAAATCATTGCAATTATAAAGCAAAAGATGACAAAATCTTGTATGCACAAGATTTTAACATTTCAACAAGAAAAAATAAAATTAATTTTTGATAGTTTTATTAAGATTTTGAATAAAAACATTACATTGTAATGTATTAATAAAATAATATAACAATACAGTGTAGTAACATCTATGTACAAGCACAGGTTTCTCTACAATTGTTAATAATACAATACAAATTTTACAAAATTAATATGAAACAACATTTTTAATAAATTTACAAGTACGTAATGGAAAATAAAAATAAAGTTTATAATAACACTTTATTCAAGAAAGTCAGTAATGGAGAGTTGCTTCTTGTTGTTTTCTCTTTTCTTGGCATCTCTGAACATAGTTTGTAGTTGCAAAACCTTTACTGCTATCATCAAAGCTCTCATGAATTTCCAGGCTACACAATTGTGAGTGTGAAATGCCAAAGCCTGAACAATAGTAGATGCCTGGGAAAATATGGATATACTGAAGGTTTTTAAATGATTATGATTATTGTGAAGTGGAAAGAGACAGTGCATGGTGGGAAGGGTTAAGGGAATATAATAAGTAATTTCATGAATAGAATGAACTGATGAGTGATTTCTCTGCCAGGATTCCTATTTTCTCTTGTGCATGATGATTATTCAATTTTGGTATTTTTGATTTTTGTGAAAGGAAACAACAAAAAAGCTTCTTTCTTTGACATATTTAAATGACAGTAATTTAATGATTCTTTATTGTTAAAAAGCATTTTTGTTTTCACTCATGAAGATTGCAATTATCATTTTTAGTTTAACATAAAATAATTTAATGAAACTTGAAATATGTTGGTGTTGATTTTGTACTTTAAATCATGTTTTGTTTTGTTGTCTATTTGATTAGATCATCAAAGTTTACTGGAACTTGCTGAGAATGTCCTGGCTGAGTTTAATAAAAGCATCATGCATGAATCTAATCTGCAGTTTATTAGAGTTAGAGAAATGGCCAAAGGAGCCTGCATAGAACTGAAACTTTGGCAAAAGGCTGTTGAATATGGTGAACTGGCATGGACTCAGAAAATGTAAATCAATCTTTTTCTCCTATAGGAAATGCAACTTGTTACTCGAAGGCAACAAAGTTAAATTATGCCCCACTTTGCTTTGAACATCTTGATGGCCAAAATGAAATTGTTTTAGTATTATTGAGTTTATTGAGCCATTCATTTTGGAGGTTAATACTCTTCACTTAGAGAGTTCCTACTGGACTTTGAGATTTACCCAAAAAGATATAATTTTAGTTCCATTTTCTTCTAGATTCTTCAATGCAATAGTTTTAATTTTCCAGTATCTAAAGTGTAATGAAACAGGATAATAAGTCGGAAACACTGGTTTGTTTAATTGTAAACAGAGCACTGTATTTGTAAGATCTTAATACTCATGACAATAATAATATTGATTGGCTAGCTTTGTGATGAGGTATGGATGAGAAAAAACAGACAAGAATATGATTACTTGTTGCTTAGATCTGACTTAATTCCTTTTACAATAATATTGCTATTCTTTCAGACTTTATTTTGGCTCCAAGTAGCCCATGTGAAGTTTTCTTTTCATAAGACACCTGCCTTGTATACTTGATTCTAGTCATGCTTTCTTTTTACATGTGTGTTTTTATTATTTAAGTCTTATTGTCTACATCCTCATCTAATCAACAAGTTTTCATAAGATAATGTTTTTCATCTATTTAGAATTTAATATCTACTATCTTACTGCAATTTTTCTAATTCCTCTAACACAAATGTGTTCATGAAATGTTTTTAGTAAAACTAGGCATGATATCTGTGTAGCTTGATGAGTGATTAAAGAATTTAAAGTGAATAAAATGAAAAGTTTGAATTTGTTCTTTGATAAATAAATTAATAGATTCAAAATGTTCAAAATTGTAATACAGATTTTCAAATTGCAAATTTTTTTCCACCAGTCTGGGTTAACATTACTCTTATCTTTATTCACATTACATTAAATTAAAAAAAAATTAACATTACAGTTTAATTTTATAAGGAAAATAATGTTTTGTTGGAATGTTATACAATAATACATTTTTCAGTTGCATAGATTTATAAAGTTATAAATTATTACGATATATTTCTGGAAGAAAAGAAAAGAAATATATTTAAAAGTGATTTCTTAAAATCTGAATTAAAAATGAAAACATTCAGTTTTGTTACTTGGAATTTTTATTTATATTTTTCAAATTGCAAATTGTTTCATTTTCAAAATTAAAATCTAGTTAATTAGTATTTTTATTAAAACAATTTCCTTCTGATTTATATTTTATTCTGGTAAACACAAAAATATGTTGTAAATTAAATTTATTGTTAATGACAGCTCATTTGCAAATATTTTTTGGCTTAAAGTTTCTCAAGCTCACAGTAAAGATCAATATAGTTTCCTATTCTACATTGCTGAATCATTTTCCAAATTCAAATATTCTTGCTTTATTTCAATTACTCTTTTAGCAAATGTGTTCCCCATCCAAGCCCTTCTTTGGGACTTCAACTTTTCGAACAAGGAAAATTGCTAACCAACACTGGAAACATTGATAAAGCATGGGAGATTTTCCTTAAGGTGAATTTCTTTCAAATGAGTATTATTTTACCTTATTAACCTTTATCTCTTTCTCGACCATTTCCTTTAAAAAATATGTGTTAATGGTTCTCCACGGCTTCCTTCCTTTTGTATTTGATCATATAATGACCATAAGCTTGGTTTTGTGTATTATTTAGGAGTTTACTTGAGAAACCAAACTAATTCTTTAGGTAAGTGTTTCAACTGAAAAGCATCACAGTTTTACAAATAATAATAAAATTACTTAAAGCAGCAAATACGTCCCTTTCGTAGAGATATTAATGGTGACATCCCTTTATAACTTGGATATGGTCTTTATACAATTCTACATTTTCTGGCAGGTATTTAAAAAGTTATTCAGACCAGCATCCTAGTCTTTATTATTTCAATCACTATGTTCCTTATGAAAGGCATGACAGCCTACTAAATATTGCTGATAATAGCAAAATGAATTACTGTCATTATTTGAGGAATTATTTGGACTAAGATATTTATATTAGTTTTTTTGAACTCAAGATTTTGTCCAGTGAAATCTACTTTCTTCTGGTGGACATTGCATCAAGGAATTAAATATTGGTTTTTATTTTGCTAGATAAATAATATGGTTTATAAATAGAGAAAATTGAAAGATTTTCTGGGTTGCCAGATGTGATATCCACTGAAGTTGTTGCAATGTCTATTAATCTTTCCGTCTGTTTCTTGATGCATTCACTTGTCTAATCTCTTTTCTAGTTTTTCGGCTTTTTAATATATCCATTTGTATATCTGTAAAAGTGTAACCAGAATAATGGCTGGATGCTTCTTTCTGAGTATGCTTATTTATTAGCTAATCCCTGTTGCAAATACCAGCTCAGGCACATTTGTGTTTCTTCAAAACCTGTGGTTTATATTGCAATTATGCTGGGTAGAACTTAGTTACAATTTCTGGGAGTGGGCATATAATCTAGTGTGATCTGTAGTTGAACAAAACAAGTATGCTTGAAACTCAGGCATGATGACTTGTCACTTTGGGCTATCACAACCATCAATGACTTCCAAGCAGTTTTGTCTACTCAATTTTACTTACAAGGCTTGGATCAAACTTTGTTATGGTTTTCAGACACTTCCCAACAATGCTGAATGTTGAGATTGTTTCCTTAGGCCAATATTATCACCCCCTTGATAAAATGACAGTTATGAGATTCAAACACAGATCTCATGGTTAGAATGCTAATGATCCTATGACTCAGAAACTTTGAAACCAACATACAGAGTCACTAATTAAGGGAGACACTGGCAAGCAGAATAATAGGATGAAATGAAAACAGAAAGAAAATATTAGACTGAATAAGATTCTTCTAGTTTATTGATTGAGTCATTCATTTTTACAGATTATCAACCCATTGCAGGTTATTTAAAGCCAGAAAAAAATTTGTAGATTGTAAGAATTTTTTTAAGATAATAATGATTTAGTGATTAAACCTTCTTCCACCATAACTAGTGAGAGAAGAGGTCAATTCATATCTTTCCCAAGTGTATTTGCATATAAGTGAATATAATGAACCCAACTGGAATTGTAACTTGGCTCTAAGATTAACAATTCCAAGCCATTATCCATTGTACAATTCTTACAGTGGTAACCTATCTAGGTACTGATCAGGCTCAATGTTGCTTAACTTTGGTGATTGTGTGGGTACCAGTGTTTCAATATGATGTGGCCATAAGCCAATTTTTCAATTTTTCTTAACAGTAAAAAAATCACATTGCATTGTTGCTTCAAGTTTCATTTTACAATCAGTTTGAAGTCCACCTTAAGAAAATGAGTGATTAATACTCTTTATTCATTTAAATTAATGTTTATTTCAAGACTAATTAATAAATGTTTATGTTAAGTGACAAAATATTTGAGACTGTTTGATATTTTTCTTTTCAGGCTGCAAATATTCTACAAATCACTCATGGAACAGAAAACAATATGTATTTAGAACTTGAAGATTTAATTGAGCAATGTGAAATTGTTCTTGACCTGCCAGTTTGAGAGACATTTTAAATATCCCAAGGCATCTACATATTTGGTAAAAATATTTTGGAAGATGAGAAAAGCAGTTTTATTTGTATGTGAAAAATTTATAATTTTGAAATTTAGTGAATACCCCCCCTAAAAAGGAAGAACAACAATTTCGGTAAAAAATGACAAAATTCCCTAAAGAAATTTGATGTTCATCTTTTGTCTTATTGTAAAGAATTATAATGGAATAAAAAGAATAAAACAGAAAAATGTGATCCCATTTTTTTTTTTATGACTGATATTAATTTTCTGTGTTACATTTGCAAGTTTATTCCACAAGGATAAATTGTGAGAAGCTGTCATCTCAGTGTTTCAGGAATTGAAGACAAAGGCTGTCATGTCACAAGGTGAATTTCTGGTTTTCATTCAATAATTTGTGAACTTTATCCTCATCTTTGTTACTTAAACATAAAGTTCATGTTTGAACCGGAAACAAATTTTTGGCTCTTCTTAAATTCATGATAGAAGAAAAAAAATCTAGTTTCAATGAATCAACTGATAAGAGCAAAAACTCTGCTCATTTACAAGTGGAGGGAGAGGGGAAAATGAAAGTGAAAGTAAAACTAATGAATATAATGCCATTTCTTAGAAGTAAAATTAGTTAAGAACAAATCCTGTTATATAGAATAAATACTTTATGCAAAATTTTATCAATCTATATCCATGAATTATAACAATTTTAGGTATTTTACATAATTTCTGTTAGTTATTCTGAAACAGAGAACATTAATTTGTTTTCACTTTTATTTTTACAAATGTGTCCAAATTTATGTTATCAACTAGGAAATAAATTTATTACATTTTTAATTATCACAAAAGAAATTGAAAGATTTTTGAGTAAGCAAATTGATCTCTATGGTCATTTGCTTTTCCAACACTGTTGAACAAGGCAACATTCAGAGCTTAATATCTACAGGTTGTTTGTAACCTTTTTTCAGTAATATTCTCATGTGCTTAATAAAAATATTGATAGGTTTACTAAAATAATAAGTAATGCGGATAGCTTCCTTCATGAAAAGGCCTTCAAAAGAGATCCAGACAATGAATTGAGAGTCAATCCATTATTTCCATTAATTTCCTTGGGCCCAATGACAATTTGTATGAATAGCATCTTGGATAATCACTCTCTAATGGGATCATCTTTAGTTGTTGTAATCTATTGTGCTTTTTGTTTTATAGACATAGTATTTGCATTCCATGTCAAACCATCTTTATAGAGCTTCAGGTGTCTGGGTGTTTTTCCATAGACATCATAACACATGGGTTTCAATTCAGAGTTATCCTTTTTCTTGACCCACGACTAAAGAGCCCCAGTCTACCCTGTCATTTAACCAACAGCTGAGTGAAGAAGAAATGGATCCATACATTTCCAAAAAATCTTTGTAACATCCATTTTTTTCTCCTAGCAGCTCTGTGTTAAATAGCAGGCTAGACCAGGATATGGACTTTCTTTCTTTCTTTCTTTCTTTCTCTTCTTGTCATCATTGTTGTTGTCATCATCCTCCTCCTCCTCCTCATGTTTGTCAAAAGTCAGCGAATTTTGGCATGTTAGACAAATGTGATAAGCACTAAACCATGGAAATGGATTAAAAAAACAAATTTTCATTATCTAATATAAAATGAAATCTCTGCCTTAGCTTTCTGTCTGCTTGTGGACTCCTGAAAACTACTGGAAGGATTACAACCAAATTTAACTTGCAGATAGGCTATGAAGCAGGAAGTTATGTGGCTTTTGTTATTTGGTAAAGTGTTTTCTTTGTGATTCTGTAGAGTTTGATTAAGTCAAGGAATGTCTTTCTTAAGAGCTAGTGAATTCATTGCTTGAAAACATATTTATTCATTGATCTGATAAAAGGGTTGCATATAGACTATACATTAGACATTTCTAAATGAGTTAGACGCCAAGAACGACATTTATATAAGATTTTCGATATTACAAAGCTATTTAAGAACATGAATCAAGTTTTCATATTAATATTTTGGTTTTGTAATATCAAGTACAACCTATCATGTGTTGAATTTCCTTATTGTCTATACATTTCTTATTACAAATTTAGCATTGGATAAGAAAATGACATTTATTATATTGGATAAGGAAATGACATATAAAACTAGGTACCTTCAAAGAAATGCAACATCTTAGATTTAAAATGAATTTTTTTAAAATGAAAAATCTTTCTTGAAATATTTATAGTAGTTTTAATTTCAAGCTAATAGATTAAATTTAATATTTCCAATAAGCAAAATACTTTACAAAAGGAATTTAAATTGACTAGAACAAGTTTTCTTAAATTGCTAAAAACAATGATTGTAATACCATTTTTAGCCATCTGTCAGCACAATATAATTCTCTCTATTAAAAAATCTTTTAAAAATAAAATATACTTTTCTGAAACTTTACTTGAGGAATATTATCTGATTTAAAGTTTAATTAATTTAATTTGAAACAAATATTACTTGCTTTTAGTTTAAAATATTGCAGAAATGCATCTTTTAACATGGAGGTAGGTATTTATTTAAAGTGATGACAGGTTGACAGCTTGGCTGACAGACAAAAGTTTATCTAATTTATTTCAATGAGGATATATCTGTAAAAATTACTTGAGTAATATAACGTGAGCACATTTTATATAATTTTTAGCTACACAGTAATCTTAAAAATTTAGGAAAATATTGTTGTACAGTGTAACCCGGATATAAAAGAGTTGTCGGGACCGGAGAAGAAGTCTCTTATATCCGGGTTTCTCTTATATCCGGGTTTCTCTTATATCCGGGTTTCTCTTATATCCGGGTTTGATCTATTTTGTTTAGGTAAGTAAGGGCTCTAATTTGGGACCAGAGAAAATCTCTCTTATATCCGGGTTTCTCTTATATTCGGGTCTCTTATATCCGGGTTACACTGTAATCTAATGTTTTATTGAATTTTAGGTACTTTGTCTTTAAATTTACAGTCAGTATAGTTATAGCTCTTATTATTTGATAATATTATTGTGTATGGACGTCCGTATTTGCAAAAATCGGTACGTTTAAACACATATACACACAAAATTAAAAATTCTTTTTAAAATATTGGGAGTAGCTGAATTGTAGTAAGCTTTTCAATTTATGATTAGTAAATAGTTTTTACTAAATAACAATATCACCTAAACTGGTACAAATTAATACAGTAACTGGGGGTCCCGTTTAAAAAAAAAAATGATGATTTTTAAAAATTCTCCTAGGAATTCTTCGTATAATTAAACAAACATTAAGCCACACAAAAATGAATTTCTCGAAATTTCTAAAAGTTAATTAAGTGTGTGGATTGACAGATTTAGAAAAACATTACTAAAATAATTTCATTCATTTGTGAATAAGTCCTGAACGTTTCATTAAAATGCATTATTCATTTTAAATAATTTAAATGTCTTCTTATTTCAATACTTTACGTAAAAAAAATCGAACCTCCATTATTGATGAAAAATTAAACAACAAATTATAAAAATCTCTTAAAAATCTAATATTTATCTTAGAGATTTGTTTTAAAGTAAATTAGTAAATTTAAGGATTTATTAACTGAATATTATAAAAATAATACTTTTTGCTTGAAACAGAAAAAAAAAAACAACGTTTATTTTGAGATGTTATTGATTTTGTTTGGTTCGGTTTGTTTTGTTTTACGGCATATCAACCTCAATGGGTTATTTAATGCCGACAAAATTTTTATTGCGGGTAATATTTTTCATCAAAAATCTGTTTCTGGGAATATTTTTCCTTGAAAAAATCTATAGCTGGTCATATTTTTTCCAAAGAATGTATAGCTGTTTGTTTTGCTGGTATTGTTTTAATTTAAAAGTATTGCTGATAATAATTTTTCCTTCAAAAATTATTGCTGGTAATAATTTTTTATATTACAAAGTATTTCTGGTATTAAAAACTATTTTTACAAAAGTTTGGGTGTTAACAATTTGCCCATAGCTGGGACCCTGACAGGTGCTACTGTGGACTCGTCCAATCATCCTTACCTTTCTGACCCTAACAAAAGCAGAGTCCACATCGTACGCCTGCGTACCTAGAAAACTTCGACCAATAAAAACGACAAGAAACGAAGCAAACAACCCCATTGGTCAATCACTTGAAGTTTACGTGCAAAACAGAAATTGCGCCAAAACCAAGTGAGCCACTCGGTGGATATATAAACAGAGAACGTTTGAACCTTCAGAGAGAATAGCAGCAGTAATTACCAAGTTTCAAGAAGTAACATTCACCGACTCCCGTCTTAGTCATTGCTGACCAGACGTTAAAGACAATTACCAACTCCACGCTAGTCAGTCTCACGAATTCGCAGAGTAATTTCCAATATACTCCACGCCGTTACAAACCACAATTTTGCCGCGCACGAAGACATTTAACTGACTCACATTCGAACATTCATCAATCAACTCTGTGAACACTTTTCTCAACTTTGCTTATGTACAGTGAATTAAATTCACTACAAAAAATAAGTAAACATCAAATACGTTTAAGGGTAGACCACTTTAAAAAACTCTTTCCAAAATCTCTTATTATTCATAATTACGATATTCGACACAAACAAAAAGACAGCGAACCAACGAACAATATCAACAAAGAGACATTCACAAATCTAACAATTACACACACATTTTGTCCACACGACACGCACTGATTACCCAATCTGTATATTGATAAATTGTATAAATGTTGCATTGTTTTCTAAATTGCTTATGTCTCATTTTTAATTGCATTTGAAAGTTCGTTTATTTATATATTTGGGGATGCAGTGAGACACGCAGCCACTAAAATTTCCTTCTGATTCTTTCTTAAATAATTAACAATCCTGCACGTCCCCAACACTACCACCCCGGGTCAGGGTGGACCTGGGAACACCAGCAATTAAGAGGTGGTTTCAAAAACCTCCTGATCAGAGGCCTTGCTATTGGACGTAGTTTATCGTCTTAGCCAGGACGGAG